TTTATCTAATTTCTAATCTTTAATTTCTAATCTTTATCTAATTTCTACTCTTTTGTCTAATTTCTATCTAACATCTATCTAATTTCTGTTTAATTTCTAGTATTTATCCAATATCTATCTAGAGAGACAATTTGGTGTCGTGCTAAGAGCACCAGGCTAGAAAATGGGAAATGGTGAGTTCTTGACCCACCTTAAAAACAAAGCTGGCTGGTGACCTTGGGCCAGTCACCCTCGCTCAGCCCTGGGAAAGAAGGCAATGGCAAACCACTCTTGAACTCTTGCCAAGAAAAATGCAGGGATATGTTCAGGAAATCACTTCAAAAAAAATTAACTTGAAGGCACAGACATGGTCTTGATCTCTATCATCTCTTATTCTATCTATCTATCTATCTATCTATCTATCTATCTATCTATCTATCTATCTATTTATCTATATCTATCTATCTATCTATCTATCTATCTATCTATCTATCTATCTCTATCATATCTGTTTGTCTGTCTGTCTATCTCTCTCTGTATATTTATATCTCGTCTATCTATCTACCTATATCTCATCTATATCTCTGTCTAGCTCATCTCTTATCTATCATCTATCTATATCATCTGTCCTGTATCTTATCTATCTATACATACATACATACATACATACATATCAAATGAGATAGATATCTTAGATTATTGATAGATGATAGATAAGAGATAAGATATCTATCATCTATCTATATATCATCTATGTTATCTATATCAATCATCTATCTAATCTATCATCTATGTAATCTATCTTATTTATCTATCTAACTATCATCTATATATCATCTATCTATCTCTATCTTTCTGTCTATGTATCTATCATCTATCTATCGATCTATCAATCTATCGATCGATCGATCTTCCTGAAAAAAATAAAAAATCAGGAGATATTTATAAAGCAAGACCATGGAGTTAAAAAACTCTTCTCTCTCTCTCTCTCTCTCTCTCTCTCTCTCTCTCTCTCTCTCTCTCTCTCTCTCTCTCTCTGTGGTTTCTTGAACAAGCTTCTTTGACTTCCCATTCTTTGATTTTAATTCATTTAAAAATGTCAGCCACCTTTTCAGGTGATCGTTGTGTGGGGGCTTTACATGTATTTCCAGAGCTGCTCCGAACAGGTGGAATTGCAGACTGTTTTTTCCCCCCTACTTATTTCAGTATTTGAAGGCTGCTGTCAAATGTTGAATATGTGGCAGCACATTAAACAAACATTGAAATAACTTAAAAAAAAATGAAAAAGAAGGGTGTCCTTACAGAGTTCAAGGAGGGCTTCTAAGTTAGGAAAAATCAAAAACAAACACAATTCTATAACCTGTCTGGCCAGTTCTAACTCTTCCTTCATTTCCTTCTGGTACAAACTCCAGCCAACAAGGAGGGGGGTTGAGCCCTTCCCATTTCATTCCCAGCCGCTTCCAGCTCTGTTCCTTTTTCTAAAACACTCCCAACAAATTCTGATTTTCGACAACAGAATGGAACTTGCTGGAGAATGGGAAAAAAAAAAAGGTTTTACCTGTCTTGTTCCACACAGGAGAGGTCTCCCTGGATGGAAGCCGCCGGAGATGCCGTGGGCCGGCTCCTCTTCCCTCTCGTGGGGCACACCGCTCCTCCAGCCTCACCCTGAAATCTTCCTCGGAGGGCGAGTCCCAGAGTTTGGAGCAGTATTTGAAGCAATCGTTGCAGAGCTGGTTCCAGTCCGAATTCCTGATGGACTACGATCCCCAGGGCAACCGTCTCTTCTGTATGATGTGCGGTTCCTCTCTGCCCAGTTTGAACCTGGACGACATCAAGCGTCACGTGATGGAGGCGCACCCCACTTCTCTTGGCTTCACCCCGGCCGAGAAGGGGGCTATCCTGGAGGCATGGAACTCTCGAGAGTTGGTGTTGGGAGCCGAGGCGAGAAATGAAGAGGACGCAGGTGAGACAGATATGGCAGGACTAAGGGGTGACGTGACAGCAGCGTTCCAATATTTGAGGGGCTGCCCAAAGAAAAGGAGGTCAAACAAAAAGATGGAACATTTTTTCACATGTGGTGGCAATGCCCAAAAGATAGAAAATATTGGATGAAGATACAAAGACGCTTACAAGAAATTACAGAACACCAAATAGAATTTTAAACCTGAAATATTTTGATTAGGAATAATTAAGGGTGAAATTTAGCAAACAAATACATCATTTTACGTATAATAACGGCGGCGAGGATAGTTTTTGCACAGGGCTGGAAAACAAAAGATACCATCTGAAGAGAACCGGATACAAAAAAACTGTGCTGAGATTGATAAACTCCCAGCGGAATTAAAAGGCAAGGACGAATCGGAATATTAAACGGTTTGGGATAGATGGCACAAATGGGTAGAACACAGAAATAAGAATTAACGTACAGGAATAAGTGTAAATATATGTATTATTAATGACACAGTACTGTTAACAATGTAAACAGATATGCAATTTTTAAAAAATAAATAAATAAAATGGAAAAAAAGAAGACGAGGGGGATGAGCCTATTGGCAACAGGACAAGAAGCAACAGATGGGAAAAAGTGAAGAGATTCCTACTGGTGAAAACGTGATCAGAAAAATATTCAGAATGTGCAGGAATGAATAGATGAGCGCTTGCAATTAAAGAGAAGGAGCAAACTGAATATTACCAGATACGGGAACTATTTTATCGATGGCCAGAGGAAAAAAATATGAAAGCTAGAAGGAGCTAATAGACTAGCGAAATACAGAAAATAGGTTTTTAGAATTAAACACGATAAGAAGAGGAGTGTTAGAGTGATAGAAATATTATGTATCTCATTAAGGATAAGAATAAAGAATTAATATCGAAGTGATGAATATGGTTGCCAGATTTAAGTGTTATTGCACAAGGTTTTTGTCACACCGTTAAATGAAAGATGAATTGCATGTATTTCAAATAAAATAAAATAAAACTTATAAAAAAAGAAGCAGCGACGGATGGAAAGTAATCGAGAGAAGCAAGCTAGAACTAAGGAGAAATTTATTGACAGTGAGAACAATTAACCAGTGGAACCACTTGCCACCCCCCCACCCGTCTAAGCAGGAGACCCTGCACCATTTCTGACAGGTGGCAGTCCAGTCTCTTCTTGAAAGCCTCCAGGGATGAAGCTCCCACAACTTCTGAAGGCAACTTCCGTTCTATTGGTTGATTGTTCTCCCTGTCAGAAAATTCCTCTTTATTTCTAGGTTGAATCTCTCCTCGATCAGTTTCCATCCATTATTCCTTGTCTGGTGCTTTTGAAAACAGCTTGACCCCCTTCCTCCTCTCTGGGGCAGCCCCTCAAATATTGGAAGGCTACTATCCTGTCTCCCCTGGTCCTTCTCTTCCCTAGACTAGCCAGGCCCATTTCCTGCAACCGTTCATCGTATGTTTTTTTTCTGTTTTTCATTGCCCATCCAGAAACTGGCATGTCTGCCCAGCAGGATCTGAGCACGAAAGAGCTGGACTCTTCGACTTCCCCAGATCGCCCCCCGGCAGAGGAAGGGATGGATGAGGCCGGCCCGTGGGACTCGGAAGGGAGCAGCCCTCGCGTTCCGGCCCGCGGCCGAGACCACCGCCGCTACTTCCAGGAACACTGGCGGGTGGAGTATTTAATGGACTACAATGGGCTGCGCCACGGGTTGGTGTGCATGGTTTGTGGGAGCACCCTGGCCACGCTCAAAATGAGCACCATCAAGAGGCACATCCAGCAGAAGCACCCCGACTCCACGCAGCTCAGTCACCACGTCAAAGCTCTCATCGTGCAGGAGTGGAACCAAAAGGTGGCCCGTCTTACGGACGCCGACGACTCCCAGCCGGAAACGGATGCGGAGGCGGACCAAGGTGAGGGAACGCCTGTACGTGGGTTGCACAGGTGTCATGGTAAAGGTAAAAAGGTTCCCCTCGCACATCCGTACTAGTCCTTTCCGGCTCTAGGGGGAGCTGCTCTCCGTTGCAAAGCCAGAGAGCCAGCACTGTCCAAAGACGTTTCCATGGTTATGTGGCAGGACTAAACGACGAAGGCGCACGGAACGCGGTTCCCTTCCCACCAAAGGGGTCCCTATTTTTCTACTTGCATTTTTTGAACGTGCTTTTGAACTGCTAGGTTGGCAGAAGCTGGGACAAGGAACGGGAGCTCGCTCCGTGATGAGGCGCTAGGGATTTGAACCGCCAAACTGCTGACCTTTCTGATTGACAGGCTCAGCGTCTTAGCCCCTGAGCCATCGCGTCCCTATAGGTATAGGTTGTCATGAGGAGGATGGAACTGCCCTGGTCGCTGTACAGGTTTTTGTTTTAAAAGTGAGGCACGTGACTGAGTGATTCTCAACCATGGTAACTTTAAAATGGACTTTTCCAGGATTCGCCCTTCAGCATGGATTAGGGTTAGAGCTGGCTGGGAGATTCTGAGAGTTGAAGTCTACCCATCTTAAAGCATGCTGATGGGGGGGGATTGTGGGAATTGAAGTCCATCTATCTTGAAGCAGATAGCTGGGGAATTCTGGGAATTGAAGTCCATCTATCTTAATTCTAGGAGTTGAAGTCCATCTATTTTAAAGCAGGATGGCTGGGGGATTCTGGGAATTGAAGTCCATCTATCTTAATTC